AGGTAGAACATGGGTTACCTAGGGTAGATGAGGGTGAACGTGGTAGAACATGGGTTACCTATGGTAGATGAGGGTGAACCTGGTAGAACATGGCTTACGAACATGGCTTATGGTAGATGAGGGTGAACGCGGTAGAACATGGGTTACCTAGGGTAGATGAGGGTGAACGTGGTACAACATGGGTTACCTAGGGTAGATGAGGGTGAACGTGGTAGAACATGGCTTACCTAGGGTAGAGGAGGGTGAACGCGGTAGAACATGGGTTACCTAGGGTAGATGAGGGTGAACGTGGTAGTATATGGGTTACCTAGGATAGATGAGGGTGAACGTGGTAGATTAAGGGTTACCTAGGGTAGATGAGGGTGAACGTGGTAGAACCTGGGTTACCTTGGGAAGATGAGGGTGAACGTGGTAGAACATGGGTTATGTAGGGTAGATGAGGGTGAACGTGGTAGAACATGGCTTACCTAGGGTAGCTGAGGGTGAACATGGTACAACATGGCTTACTTAGGGTAGATGAGGGAGAACGTGGTAGAACATGGGTTACCTAGGGAAGATGAGGGTGAACGTGGTAGAACATGGGTTAACCAGGGTAGATGAGGGTGAACCCGGTAGAACCAAGGGTAGATGGGGGTAAACGTGGTAGAACATGGCTAACCCAGGGTAGATGAGGGTAAACGTGGTAGAACATGGGTTAACTAGGGTAGATGAGGGTTGACGCGGTATAACATGGTTAATTAAGGGTATATGGGGGTCAACGTAGTAGAATATGGGTAAATTAGGGTAGATGGGGGTTAGTGAGGTAGAATAAAGGTAACTTATAGAACAAGGTTTCATAAGACATATCGTGGAACATACATGAGCGCAATAATACTCAATATTAACGTGTATTAGTTATTGGGACATGATATGGGCCTAACATGAAGGCTTTACCCTTTACAAAGTATGATGGCGGTCCCAGGTGGACCGAAAGTCGCTCATTTAAAAGATGAAACCAGGAACAATCTGGTGGCCATTCTGGAATCAGTGAGTACTTTAAGAAAGTTTTCTTCAACGTAGAACAGCAAGTGACTGGATAAATCTTCAAGACGGGTTAAGGCTTTTTTCGCAACTCGAGTTTTGACAGCTCCTTTTTCATGGCAATATAAACCAGTCAAAACTAATAAATCTACTTGTGCTCTGTAACATGATGCAATACGCAACGTAGTGAATAATAATGGTTTATTTCAAATAATTTTATATCGTGTAAATTAAGCGGGTCATTATCTGTTTTGTTTAACTACATTCCCGAGCACCTTAGTAACCACATGTACATGCGGAAATGTGCACAAGAGTAACCTCTGTAAGGAATAATGGTTTGATCTGGATTGGGTAGATAAATGAAAACCAAAACAAAATAGTTGTATTTGTTTGTCACAGAATGTACAGGTAACTGTATGTTACACTCATGTTTACTGTGATAGCATATCATCATATTAGCGATCTTATAAAGGCCAAATTAACAACCTTATATTTAACAATTATTCGCCGAAGGCGAGGTGAATATTCACCGAACCTGAGGCAAATAATTGTTTTAGTATAATTTCAGAGCTGAACAACAGAAATTTCTAAAATCATAACATTTTAGTAACATTTTATTTAACATTTTATATAAACTGTGTGGAACAGTTTATATAGCATCATGTAAGGAACTGCTTGACCAATCAGTTTGCTGGAAACTCTTTGCTCAGCTCTGAAATTATACTAAAATAGAAGATTACATTATATAGCAGTGTTAATGTATAAAGTTAAAAATGATCTGTGCCCTAACAATATTAAGAACTTGTTTGATATTAATAATAATATATATAATTTAAGAAACAATAATAATAATAATAATTTATCAATTTATAGTGCACTTTTTACATACAATGATCAAAAGTGCATTACACTTTTGATTAAATTAAAAATTAACTCAAACAATATAATATGTCAAACTGAGAATAGAACTGAATGTAAAATTGCTCACCGATAAAAAGTCTTAAAAAGATAAGTCTTAATATGCACCTTAAACTGTTCACATTAGTAATCGCACGAAGTTCTTTTGGAAGAGAGTTCCAGAGCCTTGGTGCTGCTACCATAAAAGCTCGATCACCTAACGTCTTGGATCTAGTAGCTGGCATAGAAAGTAAAATACTATCTGAAGATCTAAGGTTATATAAGGACGATTTAAATGTTAGTAAATCACATAGATATTTAGGAGCAAGGCCGTGAATTGCTTTGAATGTAATAAGCAGAATCTTAAATTCTATCCGGGCTTTAACAGGAAGCCAATGCAGACCACGAAGAAGGGGTGAGACATGACAAAACCTAGATGCATTACAAACTAGCCTGGCTGAGGCATTCAAAACTCTCTGCAATTTGTTGAGCTGGTAGTTAAGCAGCCCATACAAAAGACTGTTACAATAATCAACACAAGATGTAATAAATGCATGGACAAGCATTTCTCTTGATTCTTGAGACAAATACTTGCGAATGCGTTTGATATTATGCAAATGATAACAGGCAGCACCACATAACTTGTTAACATGAGTTGACATAGTATAAGCCGCTCATCGAACCATGAGCCCAGCTTTCTAGCTACTGTTACCGGACAAACATCAATCGACCCAACCCTAATGCAATTGACGTTAACCTTGGCCAGCTGCTGCCTGGTACCTACAATTAAAAATTCTGTTTTGTTATCTTTTAACATAAGATTATCTGAAATTGTCCAACTCCTGATGTCATTGATACAGTCAGTCATGAACTTGATGGCAAAATCAGCATCCACGGATCAATAAGGGCTCAATGATACATACAACTGTGTGTCGTTTGTGTAGCAGTGAACTTGTGGAGGATGGTGTTCAACAATCTGAAACAGTTTTCGCGTGTAGATAGTGAAAAGCACAGGGCCCAAGCATGATCCTTGAGGAACACCTTGTTTTAAAAAGCAAACTGATCCAAGAGACTAGTTACCATTTACAGAAACACACTGGGTCTGGTCAGATAGATATGATTTAAACCAGGCAAGTGCATTGTCAGAAATTCCCAAATCAGACTTAAGACAACCAATCAGCTTATCATGATGTATCGTGTCAAAGGCTGCACTCAAATCTAATAATACTAGCAAGGTGACATGTTGGTCATCCATAGACATCAAGATATCATTTTTAACTTTAAGTAAGGCTGTCTCCGTGCTGTGTTGCTGTTTATATGCCGACTGGAGCAGAGAATGTAAGTTGTTCGCAGTCAGATGCTCCATAAACTGCTCAGCTGCAGCCCTCTCTGACAATTTAGAAATATAAGAGAGGTTACTGACTGGATGAAAATTTTTGAGTGAAAAGTCCAAGCCAGGCTTCTTGAGAGATGGTAACACAAGCACCTCTTTCCAGGCCTTAGAACATCCACCGGTGTCAAAAGAGAGATTAATCAGCTTAGTGATAACTGGCAAGAGTGGTTATAATTTAAGAAACAATGATTTCATTATTCCCAGAGTTAAAGCACAACACATTATGGCAAGCACTCTCTTAGGTACTTAGGTCCAGTTATCTGGTTTAAGTTAGATGGAAAAACAAGAACACTAAGAATGCCACAAGAATTTAAAAGTGTTTTACATACATTAGATATACAAAGTTTAATCTCTTCAGACAATTGCAAGAACTGTATTTTATGTCAATCTTAATATTTTATATGATCAGTATTGTATTTCTAATCTTTTAGGTAATTTTAATTACACAGGGTAGGGTAGTACATATATTTAGGGTCAACTATACGGGGTAGGATTGTATATATTACGCATTTTATATACATTAGATTTGTTTAGTTGAGGTGTCCTTACTTAGTGGGAAACTGCTATTGATTTGACACATTAATAAAGTTTATTATTATTATTATTATTACTTCTTAAACACATATTGTTAATATGGCCAAAGAAATGAGAATGCTGTTTTTTTGTTTGTCATTTTGATGAAGCCAGCTGTTGGTGCATATTAATTAGAGCTCTTCATTGTGAATTTTTGTTTTTCTAATGTTGGCATTTCTAACTTTATCTGTAGGTTCCAGAGATGAAAGACCTTGTCATTGATCCGCAATTGATGAAACCTTTAGATCACTTTACAGGTGCATCTTTTTTAAAGGTGACAAACAGACTGCAAATAATTTTCATTGGCAAGTTTGTCTGTAAAATCAATTGTTAGATTTAAGAAGAAGGGTCCTCAAACTGCCATAAGTACTGGTTAAGTCAGAGTGGTATATATACCCCAAGGCAGCCTATTTTGCCCAACTACTGTGTGTCCTATGCATGGTATGGTTTAGTGATTATGTTCAGCAACTAAAAATGGGGAGTTTATTTTCTTTTGACCCCTAAAGTTTAATGATAAAAAATTGCAATAAAACATTTCACAAAAGCATATTAAAAATTTGTTGACGATGCTTCGTCATTTGGCTAAGGTCATTATCAAGTGAAAGAGTTGGCCAAATGTCGAAACATCATCAACAAAGTTGTAATATGCTTTTACAAAATGTTTTATTGCAATTTTTTATCCTTAAATGTTTTAAAAAACCACTTCTTTTTCATACCCCAAGATTGATTAGCATTAAGTTTCTCCTCACAACATCACTCCTGAATCAAACATTAAGGTCACAAGAATAAAGGAAATGATTATCAGCCAAAGAAGCTCTAATGACTTGTTTGTTAAATGAATTCTCCTTGTCAGCACTTCAGAAATTGTATAGAGAACAGTATGGAGAAAATGCATACCGATGTTATGGTGCAAAGGGTTAAGGAATTTCCAAGAAGTTTGAATGCCTACCATTATTGTTGGTAACTAGAACATAAAAGGCAGTGTGCCGCAAAATTTGATTTCAATGGAGGTATGATTAGAGATTATATTTTAATGGTGGGTGGCATGATCAAAGAAGTCAAATTTAGCCTTTCATGTCGAGGCCTGTAAAGATTTTCTCTGACATATTTGCTTTTTCACGAAATTTAGTCACTAAAGATGTACTCTTATCAGTTGTTATAAAATGTGATATTGTTTAGGAACATGGTGTTGACAAGATATTTAAACTGGAAAATAAACTTGAAGTTGGTGGAGACAAGTGAGTGATTGAAAAAGTAGCCATAAAGGAAATGTTCCAACTGTTGTTAGGGGCAACCCATATGCTGAACATTGGGGTTGTTTACTCACAGTTATTAGGGACCATAGGCAAACCACAACTGTGATGGTGATGAGGATGTTGCAAAACAAAAGATCCAATGGGCCGAACAATAGCTCAGCATGTGCATTTAAAAATTTTGTTTATTTCTTAGCCCTATAGAATGGACTGCTTGTGAACATCTTATTCCTTAAACTCCCAAAGTTTCCCCTGATAATATCAATACAAAATCAAGCAGAAAAGCAATGAGAATAAAAAAGGAATATTTATTAGGGATTATTAACTCTTCCAAAACCAATTTCTATGAACATTGTAAGAACTTTATAGTAGACAATAAGGAGAGTGCAACTAAATGAGATCTTAACTGGGAGTAAAATGGTTAATGCAGTTTATTTTAGCTAAAAGTGATACTGTTTAATAATCTAATAACAATCATGTGGATGTAAAATTGTTATGTGTAATGAAATTAATTGAAGAATATAAATACTTCTTGTCTATATTTTGCACAGGAGAATCTATTTGTTGAGACCAGAGCTTTTACTGACCAAATTTGTTGCTGGTAAGTGGCCCCAACACTTTAAATTCCAAACGAAATTTAGTTCGAAAAAAAAAAATTACAATATCATACATGTATGTATATTTAGCCAACAGTTTTCCCAGAGCAAAGTTGGAGGAAAACTGTGAGCTCTGTGGAACAGATTATGTCTAAGGAGAAACATTTGAGCTTATTTTCCGGCAAGTTGGAGGCTACTGTGTTTATTATCCTTCAAATATTTTAATTTGCAATGTGGAGGGGGAAATGTTTTCAAACAGTTTATTGTTTACTGCATGGGATGTTTACTTTCCAGTGTTTTCTGGTACAACTTTATGAGCAAAATGCATACCTTCCCAACAATAGCAAAGTGTTCTCCCATCTTGAATTAGATTATCATTGAAGACTTTTACTGTATTGGACACGAGGTTTGACAATTGAGGAAAATCGCAGGGAATATCATGGGAGTTACTGGGGCATATTTGGCATATTTGAGTTACTGGGGCATATTTGACCTTGTGAGGTGTTCAGACCAGTTATGCATGTGCAAAAATATTTGATGGATTATTGTGTCATTTGATAATTATGTCATCATTATATTTGATACACAATTTTGTTGATGAAGACAGCGCATTTCATACATTGTTCTTATGGTTAAGATTTTTCAAGGGAATCTATGTTGGCTCTCATAGAGTTCATGTTTTATCTAGAGGGTATATAGATATTATTTGTATCAGCAAATTGTTACCCTCTACTTTCAATAAACTGCAATCCATTGAAAACAAATAACAATTCCAGGGCTCGAATTTAATTTTTGGAGCACTAACCCTTCAGGTTAGTAGACATCTTTTTTACTAACCAAATTATAAAGTTTGGTATCCAAGCTCACAAGTTACGATATCTCAAATATTCAACATTTTGATAATAACGACCAGGACAAATTAAAGAGTGGCTGAAATTGCATGGTGACCTTAAAAACGTTGACAACTATGCACTTATTTTATTTCCCTCTCATTTACCATGATGATAAGTCAAGAACAGTACATCTACAGCACATTCTCTAAAAAGAGTTTAAGTTGATTTAACAACTTGAGTATTCTAAGTATTCTTGTGAGAGTTGGGTCTACGTGCTCTTTGTCCTGAAGTCCACCAATGTTTAAATATATGTTAGAAAATTTTACTAACCATGTCGGGTTAGTTGGACACATTTTTAGTAACCAAACGTTGAAAACTAGTAACCATTGGTTAACAGGTTACCATTATAAAAATTTCGAGCCCTGAATTCTACTAGTTTCTTCATGGTACAGAAATAGGGCTGGTATGAGTTCTATTGATGTATCCAGTTGTGGCTGTTTGGACATCATTATAAATTTAAGAAAATCTCACTCATATTAATTTCCCAAGTACTTGGTTTGTTCAAGATGTACAAAAGATATGCAGGTAATTTTTATGCGAGGTAATGATCCAATTCCATATGTATGATTTTTTTTCTCGGTAGATCACATAAATAATGACAAAAAGAGTGGGAGAAACAGGTCATATAAAATTGTGTTTGTTCCAAGGAAGGTATGTCTTTTATGTCTTGTACTTTTTTCATTATTACAATGCAACTACATTTAATATGCTTGTTGTGGTGAAATCGATTTTTGCCAAAAACTTTTAAGGTGGATTGATGTAAAATTTCCATCGTGTTCATTGGCTCATTATCTAAACCTGGACCTTAGAGTTTTTAAAACATTTTAGACTTGCTGTATTCATTAGTGTTACAATTCTTCTTGTGCAAACTGTTTGGGTGACTTTACTTCCAGCCAGTACAGTGTGACTGACAATGTCCATCCACCATGGGTTTGTGTGGGGTGGGAGGGATAGGATAGAAAGCAGGTTGTAATTTGTACCAAGTGAAAAACCCAATTTTTGTCTCAAAAGAATATTAATTAGTTTTAAGATTAAAACAAAGTTAGACCACTTCATAGTGCATTCAGGTGGCAAAGAGCTAAAATGGTCTATATGACTCCACATCCTCAGTAACAAATGTATGCTTTCAACTTTTCTGCACCATTCTTGGAGATGAGAGAGAATGTCTCTGAAATTACTTCATGAGTCTTTTAATATGGAATAGCAAGTGAAAATGTTGTGTTTTTGTAGTTGTACTCATGTGAGATGATTTTGGAGCAGGAAGGAGTGTATGGAGGTAACATGGGGTTTTTATTAATTTATCTTATCTAAGCACCTTGAGCCATTCCTAGGGAAGATGATCAGTTTTCTGTAGATTTCAAGGATATATATGGCCAATAAAGCAATTAATATGTTAAAAAAAATAAATGGTGTGCATTATGATTAACTCTTAAAGGGAAGCTCATGAGGGGATTTTTTTACCATAAAACATACTGGTAGATACCTGTGGTTATTGTTGAAGTAAATTAATTCATGTGCATTTCTGAAGAAGGGCTAAGTCAAGATGGGCAGCCTACTGGCTAAGTTATAGAATTTAGTTTTCTGCATTTTTAAGGACTTAGGCAAAATCAAGCATTAATTAAATGTTGTTAAAACTAAGGCAAAAATTTAAAACAAAATAGGTGAATATTCTGTCACCTTGATTGTATATAAGCTTGGAGTGTTGGGGGTTTATTATACAGCAAAATGTTTCTATGGGCAAATTGCAAAATGGATCTCTAAACTTGTTTTAGTTTTCTTTCTCTTGGCTTTCCTAATGTTTTGATTTGCAAATCCATTGCTGTAGAAACTAATATTTATCATAGTACAGAAAAAAGTTTCTCAGAAGTTTAAAGAAGTAAGTAAACTGGCTACAGGCAGTTTTTCTTTGGGATCATGTAGGGAGATCCTGGATTTTGAATACTTCTAGCCAAAATCTCATATTGGGTGGTTTAACATATACTTGTAGTATGGGCAGACATTTTGCACATTGCTTGCAATTTTTTCCTCACCCCTTCAGGGCTCAGAAAAAACTAACACCACTTGCAAAATATCTGCCTGTACTCTATGTTTAACTATTAAACAAGTACACCAATCTGGATGTTTAATTCAATCCTTTTGTGAGAGATACATCTGTCACTGCTCCAGGAAATAACAGATTCTTAATTGTTTTAAAGGTACTTCTTAAAGATGTGTGTAGGGCATTCTTAATCCTTTAATAAAGATGTGTGTAGGGCATTCTTAATCCTTTAATAAAGATGTGTGTAGGGCATTCTTAATCCTTTCATAAAGATGTGTGTAGGGCATTCTTAATCCTTTAATAAAGATGTGTGTAGGGCATTCTTAATCCTTTGATAAAGATGTGTGTAGGGCATTCTTAATCCTTTAATAAAAATGTGTGTAGGGCATTCTTAATCCTTTGATAAAAATGTGTGTAGGGCATTCTTAATCCTTTTCAGTGCTAATAGGAGTCTGTCACAATTTGTGTAGTCTCAGTATTTTATTGCTGTATTTAGTGTTTGTCTCGTTTTGAAAACTATATACTAAAATATATTAGATTTTTAGTATTGATGTAGAGGTTTCTCTTGGATTCAAGATGTATCTTTTGATGAATTTCAACTGGGATTTATTCCTCTTGACAAAGATGTACTGACATTGGAAATACCAAGCTTCTTCAAAGATTATTTCTTGGTAAGATTGGGCTTTTGCTCGACTGATGGCAAACAAGCCTATTGAATGTTAAAGACTATTACAAAAATATTTTCCTAACTTTTATCAGGTGACCATTCTTAAGGGGGAGTTGGCCAGTTCTAGATCTTACTGTGATGCAACAAACAAGATTGAAACTTCAAGGGGTGTCGCTAAGGCGTGTTAATGCTAAGTATAAACGGGACTATCATACAGGTCATTTTGTACTTCAAGTACCAATAACCACAGAAAACCAAGGTTGACAGTTAATGGTGATTTATTGGTGATCAACAATTAACGATCCATGATATATGAACCAAGATAGGCAATACACGATCACAGTTGTAAACTGAAATAACAATGCAACGAATTCCTATCAATTTACTTAAAACGTTGCGTAACTCATGATCAAAAGCGCTTAGAGCAATTAACCTGCCTCCATCGATTACGCAATCAAAGATAACAATAATCAATGGGAATTCACGAAAATCATAATAATCTATATCAAAATAACTCGAGATTTCAAAATCGATCACAAGATTAACAATGTGGGTGTTCCTAGCTTAGCATCTCATTCTTTGATTCACTCCCTTTTAGATTAAAAATGATAAATTGTACTGTTGTATGACTCTGCACGTTAGCATGCTTCCACTCACAATAACATACTAAACAAAAGAGGAAACTAATAAAATTACTCACATATCGGTCCCACTTGTGCCAAAGGTTAGGAACCAAAAACGGCGAATCGAACAAAACAGACAAATGGACAAGGTGAAATACAATCACACACTTGCTTAAGGGACACTAATGAGACTTTTATACAGCATGGCGATGCTAAAGTATCTGATTAGTAACTAATAGAAAATAGACAACAATGTAACCACATCTGTAACTAATATAATCTGTAACAAAGAAATCAAATTCAACTTAGGCTAACTGAATCATTTGTAGTATCCTTAACATGGCTCCCCTGAAATATTCATATTTCACTAATCAATCTATTAATTAACGTATTAACGTTCTACAAGCTCTCTTTGGCAGTTCAGTTTGGTTCTTGGTGAGGCTCCTTGGCTGGGAATTACTGCGGATCTCAAATATTTCTTTGAGGCTGGCAACAACAACACTAACTTTTGGACTGGTCTCTCTAGGTACCACACGATTCTGATCCTCTTGCCCTTGTTGTCCAAGCAGCTATCTGCAAGAGCTACTTGAACCTTGCGTACTTGGCCATCTGAGCTAGAGTAAACTGCTGACACTCTTGCTAGCTGCCACGCGTTGCGAGGGAGACCTTCATCTTTGACTATGACAACATCATTAACAATTAAGTTTCTTCAAGGGCGTATCCACTTCTGGCGCTGCTGTAAACTAAGGAGGAACTCCTTTCTCCAACGAGTCCAGAATTCATTTGCTAAATGTTGGACTTGCCCCCAACGCTTCCTGCAATACACATCTGCTGGCTGAAAGGCACCGGGTGGAGCAAGAATGACCTTTGACTTCATTGTCAAGAGATGGTTAGGAGTAAGAGGACCGGATGAATCTGGATCAGTATGCTGGGTAATCGTCAAAGGGCGGCTATTGACTATGGCTTCTGCTTCGCACTTCAGGGTCCAAAGAGATTCGTTGTCTAACTGACTTCCATTGTTTTGTAATAATGATGAGAGGACGTTATGTACTGATCTGATTTGGCACTCCCAAAGGCCACCCATATGGCTCGCTGCTGGGACGTTCATCTCGAAAGTAAACCAGTCACACTGCTCTTCGAGAAACTTTGTTTTAATCTTCTCTTGGTCCATTTCGGCTAATGATTGTGCGAGCTCCTACAAAGTTTGCTCCCTGATCACTTCTAAGCTGGTGGATAGGACCTCGACGACTGAGGAATCTTCTCAAAGCGTTTAGGAAGGAGTCTGTTTCAAGGGAATTGGCAGTTTCGATATGACCAGCTCTTGACACCATGCAGGTAAAGAGCAAGCCATATCGCTTCAGCTCCTTTCTTCCTTCTTTAATTGCAATAAATCATCGTGCTCCTTGAATGCATCATTTAATTTATCTTTCAAATGGTCTATTATCTAAATCTCTCTTCCTCCAATTGTTCTACTGTTGACTGTGGTGCGTCACGCAGCAAGTTAATCCTATCAATCTGTTGCTTCAATTTCCTAAAGGTGGCATTCCGATTTGCAAGTTTTGTTTCCACCTGATAAGCTAAACCCTTTTCGTTCATTATTCTTCTTCGTCCGATAGTTTTCGAGGTTTCGAATTGGGAAGGCTCGACGCCCACCACACTCTGGGGTGGCTTGATTGTTTCAGGCGTCGCCTCAAAGTCCAGTTCTGATCGTGTTTTGTTACGAACAGATGCCGGCACGCTGACGACACTCATCTTTTGGCCTTGAGACAAGTACCAAAGAAGACCAAAGATTGAAGCGATGATCATTAACTGTTCATAACCGATTGGCGAAATGAAGCCATGATATTTTACTGTGACACTTGCGACAAATGAGATCGAAACTTCAAGGGGTGTCGCTAAGGCGTGTTAATGCTAAGTATAAACGGGACTATCTTACAGGTCATTTCGTCCTTCAAGTATCAATAACCACGGAAAACCAAGGTTGACGGTTAACGGTGATTTTTTGGTGATCAACAAGTAACAATCCACAATACACAAACCAAGATAGACGATAGACGATCATGATCGTAAACTGAAATAATGACAACAGCAACGAATTCCTATCAATTTACTTGAAACGTTGCATAACTCATGATCAAAAGCGCTTAGAGCAATTAACCTGCCTCTGTCGATAACGTGATCAAAAATAATTATAATCAACGGGAATTCACTAAAATCATAATAATCTACATCAAAATAACTCAAGATTTCAAAATCGGTCACAAGATTAACAATGTGGGCGTTCCTAGCTTAGCATCTCATTCTTTGATTCACTCCCTTTTAGATTAAAAACAATGAATTGTACTATTGTACGACTCTGTACGTCAGCGTGCTTCCACCCACAATAAAAAAACTAAACAAAGAGGAAACTAACAAAATTACTCACATATTGGTCCCACTTGTGCCAAAGGTTAGGAACCAAAAATGGCGAATTGAACAAAACAGACAAATGGAAAAGGTGAAATACAATCACACACTTTCTTAAGGGATGCTAAACAAGGCTTTTATGCACACGTGGGGATGCTAAAGTATCTGATTACTAGCCAATAGAAAATAGACAACAACGTAACCACATCCATAACTAAAATAATCTGTAACAAAGAAATCAAATTCAACTTAGGCTAAATGAATCATTTGTAGTATCCTTAACACTTACTTAAAAGAAGAGATTACTTATTAGAAACTATCAATATATACATGTAATGGTAAATTCAAACTATTTTGTAAGAGAAAGTGTCTAATATTTTTCTCACAGCTTGAAGAGAGTGAGAGAAATGTCACTTATCAACCTGCTCAAATGGTGTAGAACAGCTTAAGAAGTCCTGCTTTGATGGCCCAAAGGGGCCTAACAGTGACTGCTAAATCAGTGGCCACCGATATACTGGTAGCTTTGACTATGAATTTCAAATTTAGCACAGTTATGAGTGAAACTTTGAAGTGTTGCAACACATAATTCATTAGATTTCACTGATTCAGATTACATATCTATTTATGCTCCAGGATGGGGATCAAACATCACTCTCTTTTGTTGCTCATTCTTTGCTGAATCTGCAGAGATGGTATGGTACAATCCCAAGTACTTATGGTCTAGGAAACTGTGCCAAGGTAATAATAAGTTGTTTTTAATATTAACTCAAACTGCATCTGCAACAAAGAAATTGGTTTCAGATGTTTAACATTTTGTTGTGGCCATGGTTATATGAGTTTTGGTTTAGAATGTTCTCAATTACAGAAGGGGCCCAATGGGCACATTCAAACTGTTTCACTGCTGTTTTAAAGTAGCACAAAGTAAACCAAAATAAACCACATTGAATATAAATTACATTATTGATCTATTGATGATAATTTCTAGATGGTTGGTGAATCAGTTAAAAACATGCTGGCTGAGGAAGGAGAGTATAAACCTGTTGATGGTCCTGAGATAGGATCCCTTATCCTTATTGACAGAGGTGAGTATCGGACAGCTGAATTTGACTATTTTGTGTAGTACAAAGGGAAAAAAAGACAAGGAAGAAAGAAATTAGAATGCCATGTGGCTCTGCCAAGCCACAATTTGGAAGTGCATAATTTACAGTCTATGTATATTTGAAGGCAGGCACTGTGGTGTAATTGGGTGTGGGTCCATTTTGGCAGACACCAAGTTACATATTGACAAGTACTTATGGTCTAGGAAACTGTGCCAAGGTAATAATAAGTTGTTTTTAATATTAACTCAAACTGCATCTGCAACAAAGAAATTGGTTTCAGATGTTTAACATTTTGTTGTTAGATAGACAGTGCTTTTCCATTTGATTTCAATTTTTCAAGTAACATGACTTTATCACGTGACTGTTTGCCTTTTTCTTTTGGTAATTGAAAGGGGAATAATGCATATAACACAAATAATATTTTAATTTTCAAATAGGAGTGGACTTTGTTACACCACTCTGTTCACAAGTCACATATGCAGGAGTTCTTGATGACACCTTTGGCATCAGAAGTGGTATATAAACATCAATTATTGAAAATAGGCATTTGAAGACTGCATATGGCTATTGATATAGCGCAATTTTTATAGCATTGAAAAGAACTAGAGTTTGTATAATGGTGCTAGAAGGTTAAGTGTTGTAGAAGATTTGTCTCATTTTAAAACTGCTTATGGCTATTGATATAGTGCAATTTTTAAAGCATTGACAAGAACTAGAGGTTGTATAACAGTGGTTGAAGGTTAAGTATTGAAGAAGATTTGTCTCATATGCAAAACTGAAAACCCGTGAAACGAAACAAAACGAAACAAAACATTAATCGGTAAGGAAATTACCGTTCACCGAGTTAACAATATCACTAAGATTTATTCTTTCTCTTCGAAACTTGTCTTCACTAGATGCCTTGTTTCGCAAAATACCAATAATGGCCGATTGGTAATTGACGAAACAAGGGTCGCAGATAATTTCTTTAGGCGTTCTGCTTATGAAAATTATCTCGCTAGATAAAGCAAAGACAGGCTTACAGACATGACAAGAAATTATTCGAAAGCTGTTCTCACTAGATGCCTTGTAGGTGTTCATCAAAACTTAAACAGTATGAGGATGTCTGTCTTGCCCTTTTTCCTTAATATGTTTCCCAATATCTTTCTTGTTCCTGAAGGTGTGGTGGAGTTTGGTCCAGAAGTCACTGGTAAAGATCAGAATGCAAAGATGTTATTGAATGACCAAGACTTGGTGAGGAAAGGTTCTACTTGTGCTTGACATTCAAGTCCAACATAACATTCTACCATGAATGATTATAAAATTCGTGAAACACAGTCTTGTAGAATTTGAAAAATCTTGTACATTCTTAAGCAGGATTAGTCCGGTAGCAAAAAATAGAGAAGTCACAATCTTCAGGAAAAATATGTTTAAAAAGTACTATGTACAATCTTACATGAACACCAAGGCAACAGTCTGCATTAATCCTCAACTTCCCCTTGAAATATGCTTTTAAATTAATAAACCTTGAGATTGATTTGCACTCGCACACCTATGTGTTTGTTCAGTACATTGCAATGCAGATTTGGTCTATTTTTAGAGCTTTAGTGAGTTCCTTACTGGTATAATTTTACATGTTCTGAATGATTAATCAGTTATTTCTTTCCATTAATGTGTTCAGGTTTTTTGCGACATTAGAGATCGTCATTTCTCCAATGTGTTTGGGTATCTTAGTCAAAAGGCAAAGGATGTTCAATCTGGATATGATGTGAGTCTATGTTGCATTGATCAATGACAAAGTAAGCCTGAAAACTCCCTGAGAGACAGCACAACAGTGAAAAGTTCTGACATTATGTAGGCAGAACTAAACCACATGTAAGACCTGTTAATAGAGAATGGGGGTGGTAAGTTACATATTGGTAGATGTCTATATTGGAGTCATTTTTTCATACCATAGTCTCTTCACTAAGGACTGTTAATTGTTATTGGTGAGTTGATGAAGTGTTACCAGAGGTTGCTATACCACGAATTAACAATCAGGCATTCCTATATGATGAATTAATAACCCGGCCGGCTGTCCAGAGAAAATAGCAATTTCTTTGGGCTCTTTTTGATACACAAAGCACAGCTGGCAGTGATCAGACACCAATTCTGTGACAGATATATTCATGAAAGCCACTCGTAATCATTAATAGTCTTGTAGATGTGACAAGTCCCACCATTGGTAGAGGGCAAAAAAATAATGCTTTCTTCTTGCTTCATTTCTTGCTCACATAAAGAATGATTTGACTCACAGAAACGACAACAGTTATCGACTGTAAGTGACATGAGGCAGTTTGTGTCTTCTGAGCTGAGAGGACTGAGACAGCAACACAAAGGTTTAACTTTACGTGAGTTTATATCAACTAAAAAACTCATTTACTCTGCAGAATTTGTATACACGTCTAAACTACCTTAGGTGTCAAAACTTCCTTCCAATATCAACAGATAGTGATTATGAAATGCAGAATTTTTTCCATAATAGGATACTAGAAAGTAGTTTCTGAGGTAGACCATTACCTCCAAATTATCACTAACAAAAGAAGTTTTTTGGGGGGAGGGGAGGGGGGCTAAGAACAGTATCAGTAATTATTTTCAAATGAATACTTTCACAGCCCATTATGGTACAAAACTGGAACTAGTAAAGCATTTCCAACAATTAACAACTAATAGGTTGTTTCCTCATGTGGTATTTTTGTCTCCGGCATGAAGAAATATATCCGCACAAGACAACCTTTCCTAGAAATGAGAATTAAATTTTATTTTCTGCGTCCTAACCGCTTTCTTGATGCTTAAATACAAAATATTCACACTCGCTATGAATAATAATTTTTAGCGCAATTTATAGCTAATTGAATATGAATAAAAGAGTGGTGTGTACTGGGAATAACGATAAAACAATTATGGACTAATTGCAATATGCAATGGCATATTGCAACAAMGTTCTCACTCCTTCATTTGACAGACATTGGTGCTTGTGAAGTGGTGCTCAAAACAAAGACCAAGGAGAATTTTGAAAGGCGGCTTCGAGCAGAGCACAGTATGTTCATCCAAGTATTATTTCTCTTTCATAAAAGCACATCTTGATGGTTATGCTAATTTTTTCCTGTGAACAAGTTTTGGTTGAAAAGCTTTAGATTATATTTGACAATCATAAAAGATTAATATGAAATCAGATTGTGTAATTTTGAGAGGTGCTTTCTTGGTAACTTACTGAATTTTAAACATGATTTGATTCCAGATATGTTGGAACTTATAGAAGATAAGGAGGATATTGACTATACTGAGGAGAATATTATCAGACAGGTTTGTTCACGGTGGCTTTCAAATGTACACAGTACAGAAGAATACATGTGTCTGACATATGAATAAGGGCTGACAGTTTCTAAAGAAACTGTTTGGGGCTGCGTCGGTGGGGGTAACGAAATAATTTGAATATATCAACAAAGTTGAAATGGTAAATTGGCCACCGTTACGATTATAAAAGCTGACGTTTCGAGCGTTAGCCCTTCATCGGAGCGAGTAGAGGAATTGTGGGTTGTGTGTGCTTTTAAAGGCAGAAAATGGAGCTACGTTATTGGTGGGAACATGGTAATGTTAAAGAACAAAAAATAAAATAATGGGATCGAAGCACTCAACCACCCCCTTAATAGAGCAAATGTTTGGGCTCCTATGATGTACGTATGAAAGGGGTCTACTGTGTTTAGAGAATATTGAATCTGCGAAATCAGATATTTTGTATCTTTATTTTTAGAAAAATGAGAGCACATTTTGTGTAACTTATGTTGAAATATGTATTATTAACAAGCCCTTCTGAATAGCTTAGCTTGATTCTTTCTCTCTTGATTGAGCTCTCACACTACAGAATCAGGATCTGGTAGAGGAGACACCACAAACGACAAATCGTGGACCAGAGGGGAAGCCACTGGCATGGCGCACTTTTTGCTGGAAATGAAATCATAGTCAAGAGAGATTAAGAACAACATTATTTCATTAGAGGACAACTGTAATGTAGAGTTTTGTCTTGACTGGTTGACAGCAGTATTATGTTGTTAAATTATATATTTTTGCTCAACAGATGACTCCATTTAAAACACTGCAGCTGTTATGTTTGATGTCTTTAACTCGTGGAGGTGATTTTTTGGTCTTTACTATCATTTATTCTGTTGACCATCTCATGTATGTTTCCTCTTTCCCAAGGGTAAAACCAGGAGAGAACGAAATACATTGAATGATATGCACGAAAAAAAAGAAAGTCTTGGATGGATACGTTTTGCTACTTCAGTTTCATTGCTCCGTTACTTCTGTGTAGTACCTGAGATTTTTATCGTTACAGGAGCAAGGGGAGAAATAAATGTTCCTTGTGGCTGAGTGGTGGTTCTTTATGTTTTAAAAATTTTCAGGAATTGACCCCAAAGTGTACCGTAGTCTAAAGCACAAGTTCCTTCAGGTGAGGACAAGTGTAGGATGTTTGTCATCATAATCTTAAAAAGAGAAAAGTCGGAATCAAAATGTGTTGGAAAATTGAATACCAAGAACGATATGACCCATCACGTAGACGTACACGTCATACAACATTCATTGTGGAAGGAGTGGCACGGAGTTACTAATTTGCTCCTCTTTATCTCATAATGCGGACTGCGGATTATTTACTCAAGTTTTCCCCTTACCAGAGTTTGCTTGCGAAATAGATAACAAACGTCGCAGTTCCGAAAGACTTTACGCTGATGGAGAAGAAGGACATTAAAAGAAAATTTAAACCAATTTTTTATGAGTGAAAATTGTTTTCACAAGGAAGTGATAGCGGTAATTTTTACTCAGTCCTGGAGGATAATCATCCCACAACTAGCTATGTTTTCAGCCTTACAGAGTATTAATTTTTTGCCTTCCCCAATTTATGCTGCCATTGGTGCTGAGAAAGTGTATCATCTTTGTCATCTTTCGCAGAGCTTTGGACACGAACATATGCTTACTTTTAATTCTCTCAAGCAACTAGGGCTTTACACTGAGCCTGATGTAAGTCAATTCATTATTTTATTTTTTACACCCTTGAAGGAGGTTTCATTCTCTGATATATCCGTTCGTTTTCGCACAGCCCGTTTGCCTATTTGCCTCACATTTAAATAATTATTTTGTTGGTTCTCTGGGATTTCATCCAATCCACAGGTAACATTCGTGGGGGTTGTTTTTCCAATATGCGTTAGGTAGTAAACTGAGCAGCAGTGAACAATATTGACTCTGATTTAGCATTAGAAGCTAGAACGGTTCTGTACGTGATTTTAAGTTTAACATACATTGAAAACGATAACGAAAATAATTTTTCCCTGGGTATTGATATTGTGTCCATAGACACTTTTGTTTATTTGTTTGTTTGTTTGTTTGCTTTTTTGTTTGTTTTTCTTTTCAATAGAAGAGGAGTATCTTCAAGACGCTGAGTAAACGGCTTAGTCTGGTAAGCACATGTATGTTTATTATATTGATAGCTCCGCCGCAAATCCTTCCATCTTCTTAGCTACCCGAGCGTGCTTTGACCCAACAAAATCTTATTAACCAGTTTACATACTTGGTAAACTAGGAATACTTTTTTGTGCCAACATGATTATTTTTGTAGGTGCATTTACAACAATGGAATCGCAAACCCCCTCCTAAGACATAGAAAACAGAAAAAACTTCGACGAGTATCACGAATTTATTTTGCAATCATTTTATGTGGTCTTTCCACCACACTTATGTGAAACCATTATTAACCAAGCTTGTTCGATCAAGATGATTACTTACATATAGTGATCATTCTTTTTTACGTTTTTATGGCCCTCGACCTCACCAAAAAGCAAAGAAGAACTTGACTGAAAAAGCTCAGTCAATAACGCCTATGTAGTCATGTCTTGCTGGATACATGAGCAAGTTTTAATCCAATAAGCTTTATTGCATGATTATCAAACGTTGGTTCCAATGGTTCTTATTCCATAGCTTTCGGTCTGTTAATTATTTGAAGGTGCCGAAGGATGTTGGTAAAATTGATCTCAAGAATCCTCAGGACATGTCGTATGTTTTCAGTGGTGCTTACACTCCTATTTCCTGTAGGCTGATTGAACAGGTAAGCTGCTGCCTATCTCAGAGGACGTAACAAAGAAATGGCAATGAAAATTAACTTCGTTTACCCTTTGTTGGTGTGTTCAGGAAGCCGGCTGTGAATATGTAGAGTTCTCTTGTAGTCCAACAAGAATATGTCGGGCAATGGCTCAGGCTTAATTTCAAACGATGTCATCGACTAAAACTAAACATATTTTCGACTCTCAGACTGAAACGTTTTTTCGATAGCTGATTGGTTCTCGATTCAGGGAGAAAACAGAGGAATAAGCCTTGTTGTCATAGAACTCTCCGTACTCCGTTGTTACGATCAGCCAGTTGTGAGATGATTTGGTTAATGTCGTGGACATGTGTTTTCAGTCCTAGCTCTAAAACTTAAAAATCGTCTTCCAGTTTTTCTCAGCGAAACTGTTTTGGTTATTCTAGTCCCTCTGGAATTTTTATTTTAAAGGTCCTTCAGAGTGGTATATCAACATTTGAAGAGATGTCCAGATTACTGGGTGTAGAGTATTTCTCGTCAAGAATGACATCTTCTGTAAGATGTAAGTTCATAAAACAAGAGGTAACTCGTAAAAGAAGCAAGTCCACTGTTCGCCTTGAAACGAACTTCGTCCCTTATTGATGACCTAACTGATTTCCCATCATTTTGTTTATGTTATCACCCCACCCCTCCACCCCCATTCGGGGTGGGATATAGTAAGGATTTTGTCCCAAGTTCTTTCTTTGTCGGTCTCGTTTTGTAATTATTTCCTCTTCTGGCCTTTAATCATTTATCCTTTCCTAAACTTTGTATTCGTCAAAAACTCCCCGAGCTTCAGCTCTTTCCTCATCGACACAGAAGACTATCGTCTCTTCCATTTTACGAGTCCCTGTTTTTCCATTTGACAGACTCTAATACAAATGATTATCCAGGATCCAAATGTGTACTGGTTATGTTCCTCGGTGGATGTACCTTCTCGGAGATTTCAGCGCTCAGGCTTCTGGCGTCCAAGTTAGGTAATATAAGGACAAATGTAAGGACATGCTCCTCAGGTTTTCTCACATCTGTAGAACCCTTAGACTTGTAAAGGTGTCATGAAAAGTTTGCACGTGCTCATAATAAAGTTTTCCCGTTTCGGTATATTTAGTAGTTGATTAAGTAAGATATTATTTCTTGTCGCCAACATTGATTTGTGGAATGTCAAAGGAAGTATTAACCGGCGTCGTGTAATCGAGCCTTCAAAAACAAAGATGTATTTAATCAAATAGTCGCTAGTAAAACCGCATGCGTAGATTAACACTATGATTGTCGAGCAAGCCGATTTAACAGGAAATTAGTGGCCACGAATCATTGAAGAATGAGTAAAACAAAACTGGAACTTTGTCAAGTTAGCTTAAATTATCTTACCACTCCGGACTTACGTACCTGGGTGCGTATATCCGTAGCTTATAAAACATAGCATTTTTGTAACTCAAAAAAGGTGGGATTGAGATAGGTCGTAGAACAGAACGTGTAATGTTGGATTGTGAAGAATAAAGTCAAGGTAACCGAAAGTATACAGTCTAGGTCTGTAGAACCAGCGTGTGTAGAGTTTCCTTCTAACGCAAATGAGAAATTCTGCGAAAAAAGGAGGAAGGAAACGTGAAAGAGAGAGTGCACTTTTCCTGCTTCGCGTGGTCTCCTGGCACTCGTCGCCTGTCGCTAGCGCTTCGCACCAGTTTCTGAGAGTGAACGCAAGCACTTTGGTGCCACTTGTGCTTGTTCAGGTGATATTTTCTTTTCCTTGCAACCATTTAAAGCACATAAAATGATTCTAAGGGTGAGGAATAATTAAGTAACTGTGTAAACCCCCAAGCATTGATTTTTAACGATCTTATTTTTTTGTTTTGTATTGCAGAATATCGAATAATTGTGGCTACGACATCAATTGTAAATGGAACTCGTCTATTGGAGTCTATCACAGAAGCCAAACGTAGATAGAACTCTTTGTATTATACGGGTTTGTTTCACTGAGCGTACCCCATTGTCACTGTCACAGACATGGCACCACACAAAGCAAAACTTCAGAGACACAAGGAACCTGGCACGGGATCTTGAAGTGGATTTACCAGACCTTTCCTTGCATTTGAAATTCCAACTAATGTTGACCTAGGTGATTCCTCACTTTTGCAATGCACTTCCTGTACTGCCCATAACAACCTTTAAATTGGAGAAATTTAAAAAAAAAAAATAATCGAAAGGGGAAAAAAGACATAGCTAAAAGCGTACACGAAGCCCGTTACTCGATGATGCAAATTATGACGTTCAAAGCATCGACTCGAGGAACGTTTCGAGTCGATGTCGTTTATGCGGGCCCCACAGGCCATCAAGAAAAAGAAAAAATTCTTTAGTAATTTGCCAATCGTCAGTGTCAATTAAACGACTTATATAATCAGCTTGCTGATTCGAAGTGCGAGGGATCCATTGCACTTCTAAATGAATTCCCGATCGAATACAAATATCAAAAATCCTTCGGGCCATTTTATGCAAATCGAATTTCATGCTGCCCACTTCAACAGTCTTAGCAGCTACTTGGCTATCTGTAAACCACTTAACGTGTGATCCTTCCAATGCTGAGGCAAATGATCCTAATGAAAACTCAATAACGGACAACTCCCTCCAAGTTGAACTTTGACTTCTCTCGTTCTC